TGCACTTTTGAATTCCCTGCATGCTGAGACTGGGAATCTATAGTATTTGGGACTCGGTGCATGATTTGCCAGAAACTAAAACAAAAGCAGTCCCTTTTTGTTAGAAAGAACCAGAGTTGAACTTAGTTGAGTTTGATTTACTTTTTTTTAGAGAAAGTAACTGATTTCACGGAGTCATTTCAGATTACGAAAGACCTCTTTCTACTAACCGCTGTAGATATAGAGAAGACCAGCTGCCTATGGCCATTTCAAAACAACTGCCTCCTCTGAGGGAAGTAACAAACCCTGCAGAAGGACGTCTAACTTCAGGACCTGTGGAATTTTTAATTACCACCATAACCCTGCATGTTCTCTCTTTGTTGCCTTCTCACACAGCCCCTTCCTGCCCTGCACCGCCGGCTCAGTGCTCTGTTGGCCACAGGCTCTTTGTTGTGTAGTTGCTGCCAACTTGGCTGGTGAGAAGCCAAGCCTGGAGGGAAGAGTCCTGGCAAGACCAACATGGACCTAAGGCCCCAGCAGAGTGGCTGCTGACTCCTCCCACAATACTTTTAACAGGGAATTAAGACTTGAAGCACCACACCTCTCCACATATGCTTAGAATGACCTTTCTAGGCATTATTAGATATAGATTGTGCCAGAAACCAAACCTGTTACAGAGGGAGAGTGGGCTCTGCTTCAGGGAAGGGATGGTGGCATGATCTTCGAAAGTGACTTTGCACTCATGTGTAACAAGCATGGAAAACTGCATCGTCCATTTTCTAGGGCTGGGTGTAGACAGGAGAAGAGTCTTCTATGATGTAAGAGCAGTTATTTCCCTGCACTTTTGAATTCCCTGCATGCTGAGACTGGGAATCTATAGTATTTGGGACTCGGTGCATGATTTGCCAGAAACTAAAACAAAAGCAGTCCCTTTTTGTTAGAAAGAACCAGAGTTGAACTTAGTTGAGTTTGATTTACTTTTTTTTAGAGAAAGTAACTGATTTCACTGAGTCATTTCAGATTACGAAAGACCTCTTTCTACTAACCGCTGTAGATATAGAGAAGACCAGCTGCCTATGGCCATTTCAAAACAACTGCCTCCTCTGAGGGAAGTAACAAACCCTGCAGAAGGACGTCTAACTTCAGGACCTGTGGAATTTTTAATTACCACCATAACCCTGCATGTTCTCTCTTTGTTGCCTTCTCACACAGCCCCTTCCTGCCCTGCACCGCCGGCTCAGTGCTCTGTTGGCCACAGGCTCTTTGTTGTGTAGTTGCTGCCAACTTGGCTGGTGAGAAGCCAAGCCTGGAGGGAAGAGTCCTGGCAAGACCAACATGGACCTAAGGCCCCAGCAGAGTGGCTGCTGACTCCTCCCACAATACAACGGCGTCTCCATTAAAAATTATAAGAAACTAGAAGTCACTGTGGGGTCACCAGGAACTGGTTAGGAAAAAGTGGTCCTGCTACTGATAATGCCTCTGAGTGCGCGGAAGGGTGACAGAAATGGAGAGGGAGAATCACAGGGTCCTTTAGGGCCATGTTCAAGTAACTCACTTAGGAAAACATTCTGATAACCTGGGCTTTTGTCTCTTGGATCAAACAAGGGAAATGTGTCCTTGGGTTCCACTGTAACCAATCTCAGAACAGGCAAACCTTATAGAGTGGGGGCACCTCCAGGAGTCAAGACTGGGTGCTAAGGCTTTCTGAACAAAAGCCTATACAAGGTCCGCTGGCCAGGCGGCAGCTCGGTTCACGCCCTGGAGAGCCTCTCAGGACTCTGGCTCGCTCTACCCAGGGTTGCTAACCCTGTCCCACTACCCATCTTTTACCCTTCCCTTAGTCCCAGCACGAACCATACAATGGATGAGGCGCTGGCCTTCCTCCATCCATGAGAAAGGGCCTTAGGGAATTCTGGCCTCTGTTTACAATCGGAAGAATGTTGTAAATAGTGAGCTTGTGAAGGGAAGCTTGGGCATTGACTTCCTTGCCCTGATCTCTCTCTTCTTAAGCTTCTGGGTGATAGCTTTAAGTTACAGGTGGTTATATCCTGGTTTCCTGTCGTTAGTGACTGGATCATCGCTTATAGCTACAGAAGACGTGAGAGAAGTTCACCTCCCGGTTTCCCACACAGTACTAGGGGAAGCCCAGAAAGAAGGCTCCGCTGCTGGGGCTAGAACAGGTAAGCCTGAGACGGCGGAGCTACAGAGCACGAGTGCGGAATTCGAGAGGTAAACCCGGAGGTGGGGAGGCCGGACTGACGCACGCGCATTCGGAGGCCGGTGGGACCCCATTAACCGGCTGGTTAATTTTTCGGTCCCCTGTCGGGTGGGGATGGGTGGAAACTCGTCTCCAGGGACTGTTCGCTTTATCTCTGCAGGTAGCCAGGCGCAAGCATCTTCTCTCCGACCCTGCTTCCTGGGTGAGAGAGCACGGGAATTAAGAAGGGCCAACGCGCGGGCCCGGGGCGTCCTCCCCGGCGACCTTGAGCAAGCCTGGCAGTTAGTGAAGGAACCGCGGGAGCGTCTCCAGCAAGGGGGTTTGATGATCCGGAGAGTAACCACAGAAACAATGGTACAGGTTTGCACTCTCTTTCGAGTGGAGTGTACCGGAGTAGGGAGTAGAGTCCGGGTTAGGCGAGACCGTGATGAAAATTTTCCGATCTCAGACTTAAGGTGACTACAAACTCAGCGGACACCGGCTGCGCGGCGGGTTAGGCAGGGCGCGGAGCAGAGCGGGCGCAGCCCGGAGCGGAGGGCGACCTGCTCCCCTCTCTGCTGAGCTATGGAGGGAAGGGGTTTGGCAGCTCAGCGCACGGAACGGTGGCAGTGTTCTTTGTCTTCTTTCACTAATCAGCTTCGCAGCTTTTTTTTTTTTGAATGACCCAAATACATGGTGCATCTTATTGTTATAAATTTTAAACGTTTTGTGGAGTCCACCCTACTTACTTAGGCACACCATGCCCACTGGGTTCGAAGCATGCTCACCACCCCCACCACGGTCGCTCCCAATCAAATAGCACTGAGAAAGAACGTGGGATCTGGTTTGCCAAACTCAGTCATTGACCACAAAATCTGGTCACCTCTCTCTTCTTAGTGAATGCTCGGCTCTTTTTAAAGTCTCATTCTTGGACCCCAGAGGAGGTCAGAGTGCACCTCACCTCCCTCCAGGTTGAGGTGGGCTAAAACCCAAGCAGGTGTCTTGGCCTTCATAGGTCTCCCTACACAAAAGTTTGATCCCCATCTGGAACCTTGCCAAGGAAGAGAGGGATACAAGAACGGTTGTTTTAGTGGAGGTGGGACTCGAGAAGCTGCAAGAAGAGAAGACAAGAGGCAAAATATCAGCATCTAGAAGAAGGTCAGTCCCAGAGTGGTCTTAGCTTCCTGGGTTTGGGGGGAAGGAGGGAGAGTGGGACTGAAGCCACCCTCCTGCTCTTTCAGCAGATTTTTTGGGAAGAGGAGGGGGAGAAAGAAGCAAGTGGATTTGCTCTGGAAAATATTTGCTACTTGAAGCATGGGTGGTAAATTTTGTGACACGCAGGGGAGCGTGCTGATGGCATCCAGCAGCGTCACTGTGCCTTAAATGCTGACAGCTTTGTCACAGACCCAAGAGTATCACCTGTAGAAGGAGCAGTACCTGGCTAGGCATCCCACAATGATCACCTCCAGAAAGAGGCAACTTCAGTCAGATGGACCATTCTGAGAGACTACATGCCTGTTCTCAATGTCCATTTTCAGGATTGCCCTGTAGGGAATCAAAGGAATTGTCCACCCATGCTGTTTAAGCCAGAAGCATAGAGCCTGAGCCTAGAACAGCATAAAGAGAAGCGGTGTGCAGCCCAGGACAGCATCTTATATAGAGTGTCAGGGGCACTGTGCCTAGGCTACACACATTTATGTGCAATGTGTGTGCCCTTTCCTCCCCACAGGGGCTTCAATAAGTTGTCCAGGTGACTTTGTTTTACAGCTGCCTTGATGTTAAGTATTCTAGCCAAGGAAGATTTCTAATCCTGAAAAAAATCCACATGCCTTTTATATGCTTTTCATTATTGAGATAGGACTCCTTAACTGGGTACTCAGTAATGGATAAGGCCATATCTTAACATCAACCTTGGCTTATGTGGATTAACATTATCAGTAAGAATCACAGCCCTTTCATTAAAATGACCAGTGAATAATGTATCAGAGCATAGTTTAAAGCTTCAAATATGTTTTCAGACAAAAATATTCAAAAAATGCAAATCAGGTATATTTCTCAGATAAATGACAGTAGAGGCATTGCATACACGGAAATTCTCAGTTGTCAGGTTTCCTGAAATCCAGCGCACGCATCATTAATCACTCATTGGGGTCGGCCCTTAAGTCAGTGGCAGCTCTGAGTAAGCTGAAGCGAGCCGTTAGCTAATCCTTCCTGCCAAAGGGATACTGGGGCAAGAGAGAACAACTGGACAGTTACGTATGCTGGTGCCCAGACCCTGCCTCTCTCGAGCTGCTCTGAGCGCGGGTGTGCGTGTGCGCTCACCCTCCGGGACCCAGACCGAGCTCCCCAAAAGGAAAAATAATTTCAGCATAGTGGTTAGAGGGCCAAGAGTTTTCAACAGGAAAGCAGTTCTAGTAGTGGCGCAATGGCTTAGGGTGGTTCTCTAAACAAGGAGTAAACCGAATTCCTTAGGTCTTCCGCACATCAGCGACCACAGCAGCCTTCTCCCCGAGCTGCACACCATCAGAGCCTTCCTAAGTTGGGCTACAAATGCTTGTTTGGGTCTCCGCAAGCACTTGAAGCGGTGGGATTCTAGGCGGAGCGCAGTTTCCCGAGGGATTCCCAGAGCAGGGTTGTGACTGTGAGATTCCAGGCAAAGGGAAGGGAACCTCAGAATTGGGTCCTATGTTGGCAGGAGTGCGTTGCTGGGACGCAAGCGTGAGGCAGAGGTCGGGGAGCACCAGAACTCACGTCCACGTTTAAACCCTCATTCCCGTCGTGGCCCCGGGGAACTCGACTGCTCGCGGGGGTCTGAATTCCGCGCAGCGTTGGTTCTAGTCGGAGGGCGGTCGAGGGCCGCGTGAGAACTGCCGGGGTGAGTGGCCTTGGTGTGCGCGTGCCCAGAGTCGGGGTGCAGCTCCTCTCCGCCCGGCTTCTCCTCCCACTCACTCTCTCCCATCTCCTCCCTCCTCAACACCCCCCGCCCCCGGGACCGCGAGGCTCCCTCCCGCACGGCCAGAGAGTACACAAAGCGGCGGGTGAGGGGAAGCTTCGCAGGCGTGCACCAAGCAGTGAGATCACTGGCGTTATAAATATCCCCTTGCCAGCGCCGAGATCCGTACGGGTGGCCTCTCTCTCCCCCCACCTCTCCCTCTCTCTTCCCCGAGGCTATGTCCACCCAGTGCGGCGAGGGGGGCAGCGCCAGAGCCACGCAGCCGCGCAGGGGCTACAGAGCCCAGAGCCGGCCCTACAAGATGCACTTGGGACGCCGGCGGCTGGAAGAATGAGCTTGTCCTTCCTCCTCCTCCTCTTCCTCAGCCACCTGATCCTCAGCGCCTGGGTTCACGGGGAGAAGCGCCTAGCCCCCAAAGGGCAACCCAGACCCGCTGCCACTGATAGGAGGAACCTGAGGGGCGCCAGCGGCAGCCGGAGCAGCACGACGACGTCTTCCTCCTCTTCCTCTGCTTCCTCTTCCCCAGCGGCTTCTCCCGGCAGCCAAGGCAGCGGTCTGGAACACAGCCCTTTCCAGTGGAGCCCCTCGGGGCGCCGGACCGGCAGCCTCTATTGCAGAGTGGGCATTGGTTTCCATCTGCAGATCTACCCGGATGGCAAAGTCAACGGCTCCCACGAAGCCAATATGTTAAGTAAGTTGCTCGCTCTCCTGTAAAACCTGTCCTAAGCGGGCGGCGGGAGACTCGGGAGAGACAGCTGGTTATTCCCCGGGCCACAGGCGCACCTTCTGAGACCTAGCTGGCTCTCGAAACAGCCGCGCGGCTTGGGTGGAGATGCGTACACATGGCGCGCACACACACACACACCCCTCTCGTGGGTGTGAGGAAAGGCGATTCCTGAAGCGTAGGCTCCCCAGAGGCTGGTGCACAGACAGGCAGCTTGTTTCTAGTTTGCCCTGGTCCCAAAGAAGAACCTCCAGCCTGTGCCTAGAGAAAAAACAAAAATATTTCTCCTCGTTTAGTTTGTTTCCCTTCTGCTTCCGTATATTAGGCATTTTTCCTTAAGGCATCAAAGTGTATCCCTTTTCCTTGCCCATAGCTGAAGTTATTTATTTTAAGAATAAAATCTCACATGCTACTCCTCCACCATCATCATAAACCCCAAAGTAATTTATATATAGTGTATATATGCACATACATATATACAAAGATGTCTGTGTCTACTGTATGTTCATATTTGCTCATTATACACATACAGGATACATGTGTATTCTAGAGGAGCTAGACATCCCACGCCTGGCATTAAGACGGTGATCCGGAAAACTGGAGACATTTAGAGAGGAAGACATGATAGACATTCAAATTATTAACTCTGGAGTTGGGTTTAGCAACGTTTAGTGTCTTGTGATCATGACAACACCTTGTTAGGAAGAGTGGCCAACCTTTGATTCCCAAGGACAATTAGGAGAAAGCTCTTTATTTCAAAAGAAACTTAGAGAAGGTTCAATTCGGTACAGGTGCAAACTGTGTAGGTTTTTTTTTTAAAGCCACGTCAACATTTTTGTGAGTTTTCTCTTTAGCTCTCTTTCCCTCCTGTCTCACCTCCTCTTCCCTATCACCTTGAGTTTGAGACCATCACTGCCGCTCCTCTGATTCCTGTCACTGCCTCTAGGCAGCCGAGAGGAGAAGTAATTTGGGGTTGTGTGCTGGGCTGGGGAGATCTCTGCGAGGCTTTTCCTCCACTGGGCCAGACCACTCTGCCTGTGGTTAATCCTAAAGAACCCCAGCCCAGGCCTCGAAGACAGCCAGCGCAAACATGGCCAGCAGATCGCTTAGCTCACGGTCATCGGCTTGGCTTTCGAGTGACAGCCTGCCAGCTCCCAGGGGTACTTAACTGGTTTCATCTCAAACTAATTGGGCTTCTCACCCAACTCCGGAGGAGCTTGTGTAGTACATCAGGTCTGCCAAGGCTTTCGCCTCCTCCTGAGCGGGGTCGGAGGTGCGAACCTAGGGCAGGAGGTGGGGAGGGAGGAGTAGGAGGTGGGCGGGTGGCTGGAAGACCTGGCAGTTCACCCCCTAAGGGTAGGAGCAGGTCCACGCCTGCTCCCTGACGCTGATTAGTCTTTTTGAGATTTGCCACTCTGGCTGGCTGTGTTGTCGTGGTGAGGTGGTACCGAACCTAGGGGTTTTCTGTGTTTTAAGGTTCATTTCACTCTTTTCAAACAATCATCACCTTTGGTGATAAAGGGCAAAGTCTATTAAGATGGAAGGGAGTTTTCCAAGGTTTCAGAGGCTGGCAAGTTACATCTATTCTGGTATTTTCATCTGTCCTTCTCATCTTGCCCCCAAACTCCACTCCAACAGGCATCAGAGCTCATCCCCACTAGTAACAATCTTTCCTCCATTCTCTTGCATGAAAACTTTTTCTAGTTTGTTCTTCTTGTAGTTTATCCAGGAAACCAGCACCAGCAGAGGATAACCTCTGTGCTCCCAGTTCTGACTTTGTGTTCTCTGCTAACCCTAAGGTAGCATGCAGCAAGCAGAAGATGGGATCCCAGCAGGGTAAAAGGACGTGTCTTGGGTGGGTTTTGGATGTGTTAGGAATCTGTGAAAACCAGAACCACTCCCAATATATTCACTCTCTTCTCTTGGAAGAAACCACAAGACACAAAGATTTTTGCCCCCTTAGGCCTTGCCAGAAACAAAGTTGTAGAAAAGCACAGGAAAGAAAATTGAGAACAGATAAATGAAAGAATACATTAGCTAAAGAAGACATTGACCAATATGTTATTTCCAAAGTACTTTTAAAATACACTTTGAAAGGTATCTACAAAAGATTAGGGATGGTTACTAAACAGTAAATAAATTAAAAAAAAACTAAATAAAACTTCTCTATTTAACTAACACTTTCCTAATTAGTTCCAGTTTACAATAGACTTTCAGAATTTAGTTGGCATCTTCCATATGGCTTTTGATCATTCAACTTTTTCATTCATTCATGTACTCCATATAGGATACCTACCACACCAAGGTTGATATTTTGGTTACTTCTGGTTGGGGAATTTTTTTTGTGTGTGTGTGATTTTCTGCTTTGTGATATCTGGCATATAAATGCAACTTCATAAAATTTCACTACAATTGATGGATAAAGAACTTATGCAATATGTTCTGCTTAGTAGGAAAGCATGTAATTTTTCTGCCCTTAAGTAGCTGAGAAAGACAAACAGAAACCTGATTATTGTAGCTGATCACATACCTCTTTGAAGGCGGTACTTGACAGTTTCTTAACACATGTATAATTAAGGTATTGGTCAGGGACTGTTGGTTAGAGTATACTGGAAAACATTTGTCTAAATCTCACAAGAGACACTGAAAAAGCAGGAGCCATAGGGGATTACAGAGAATACATTGGAGTTTTACCTCATCCAACTCTACTGTATGAGTTAACAATGACAGAAAACTTAAATTTTTGTCAGTTTGCTACTTTAGAAAAGTCAAAACCATGCCATGAAACTGCATTCTAATAGGTTTTTTTAAACTCAATAATTTTCAGTAATATTTGTGAGAACAGATACAAATATATGCATATTTTAAAACATATTTTTTGTTTAGTTAAGATATACCACTTCAGTTAATCTTAGCTTCTCTTATACAATAGTTATCCCAAGTTTTGAAGACAGAAAAAAAAATCAAGTTCATCGTACATAAACTCCTTAGAGCAACACTAGGGAAGGATGAAGAAAGATGGACAGGAGAGATGATGAAATTCAACCACTGGATAGAAACAAAAGCTTTGATTTAATTTACATGCTTTCAAGTTTAGTTTCAATACAGTACTTCTGTTGACTTATCTTGGGCCACTAAAGAACAGGCAATTAAGTAATTGTCAATTTAGGGAGCAAAAGTTTAAGGTTATGGCTACACAAAGCTGAACTGTTCACATAAACATGAAAATTCTAATCATATATTTTGGCTAAACTGAACTCTCAATTTTACTAATTTTTAAAAATCTAAATTCACTATTTTGGTGTCATATAGATCAACTTTTATACAGCCTCCCAAAATCTGTATATACTATATAGAAATCTCCAGTGGAAAAAAAAAAGTTACTAATTTAATCAATAAAGCCTGGTAACTTGAATACTTCAAGACTCAGACTTGATAATGATGCAGTATTGCTGCAGTGAACACAAGTAGAAAAACTTTAGTTTAAAATTATTTTTCTTTGAGTATTTTCAGGTGGACTGTTGCAAGGCTTCTGAATACAAGGAATATCTGTGTCCTTCTATATCATTCACTAAGAAAAGAGGAAAAAGGAAGAAGTCGGCAAAATTATGCAACCATCATTATCAGAGTCCTATTAAATTAAATAATGAACCTGGAGGGGACTAAGGAAAAAAAATACATTTTTTTCTTACTGAAATAAACTTACTTTGTAATGCATGCCCATGCTTCTAAGTAAGTGGATTAGAAAGTTTGTATGTAAGTTTTTGCCTCCTTCAGCCTACATGAGAACCCCAAAATTCCACCGAGAGAGTAATTCCTTCTGTTAAGCACTGCCCTTTTTATCCTCTTAAATATGAACACCCTAGGAAATATAACACATTATCACTAACACCTAAATGTGAATTAATTTACACTGATCCTCTCCCCTATCCCACTCCCCAAGCAGGAAAGGGCCAAACAGCAGGAGTATACTAAAACATGTCTCCATATCTAGGTGTACATGAGGTATCCTGAAAAGGAAAAGGAGACAGAGAGGTCAAAGGGAACAATCCAGTTTAGCAAACATTTTTTGACTATCTATGATCTGTGAGACACACTTGTCCTTCCACAATTTTTTTTAGCAATAACATCTTGGTAACCATAATTTACATTGTAAATTCCTATCAAATTTATTAGTATGACTCCTAAGAAGAATCAGAAAATTACTGAAACTGAAAAATAAATCAGTTTTAGAGAATTTTTTTGAGATTTATATATATATTTATGATTTAGTGACATGAATTTAAAGTATTATGTAGAATTCTTTAGTGAGTTACTGAGATTTAGCATAGTAAAATCAAAAGGCCTATGATCTCTTGAAAGTGAGGGCAGGAAGTTGAATTGTGGGGCTTGTAGAATCTGCTCCAATGTTCTAGAAAAAAATGACCTTGTGAAATTACTGTTGAAATTACCTTGGTAATTATGGTCTTAACAGAGTTTCCAATATTACACCATAATTACATTAAGCTATAGATCATACCTAAGTTGCCTATGTTAAAAAACAATTATTTCATCTAATCTCATATTTTCTCTTTCCTGCATCATCATAATTTTAAATAGAATGATATATGTAAAAGCATTTCATTTAAGTTTTCAATTAAATATAATTTTCTTAAAGTTATACTACCTTTTATTCTCAGGAAATATATCATCTTTATACTGGAACTTCTAAAAAAAGAAACCATGTAGTATATAATAACATTTTCACATGTTATTTCTTCTTTCCTATATTTAAAATTTATTACAATGTAAATTTCATGCAACATATATATGCAAAATGAAGTTAGGAAACTTGTTAGCAAACAAATTAAATGAGTCAAAATGGGTCTTTCTTAAAAATAGAAAATGTTAGTTGACAGAAACCAGTAGTTTACATAGGCAAAGCAGTATTCCCATTAAACAAATATTTATAGAGACCTTTTGTCTTAACCATTTAAAATATTAGCATGAAAACACATATACCTAATGAGAATTTTATCTTTTATGCTAAATTATTTTTTCACTAACACACAATAGATTTGCATTTATAAAACCAGATAATTTTCCAGAGAACAGAATAAAAATCTATTAAAATGTAGAACCATGATTAAATTGGTGAAAAACATAAACCAAGTCTTCTTTTCTACCAACTCCATATTCTCTTTTGTATCTCTTTCTCTACACAATTTCTCATGTTCCCTGTCTTGTGTTTTAACACATCCACACAGTATTCACAATCACATCCCCCATCTCCCAAATATCTAAAATCATTAATGCTGTTTTCAATATCATTCTGTAATTTTGATAGAAATATAACTGTATATCAGATGTTGTTTATGCTTTATTAATATTATTACAACATATTACATTGTGTAGTATATTTAACTTTATACAAAACATTCTATTTGACCGAATGATAATGCTTCTTAATCATTGGGTATGCATCACAGTCAAATAATTTATATAGCAAAATCTATTGTAAGAAGCACTTTGAAACATTTTGAAGAAAATAATTTATGAGAGAACAGTTTCTTTAGGAGCTTTTTCCTAAAAGCAAAAGTATTTCCTTTCTAGTAGTTTTTAGTGTTTTTTTTTCATTTTTAAAGAAACATCCATTAATAAAGCAGTAGATGCTGTTGTTTTGAAATTTATTTACTCCAGATTAAGAGTGCTTATTACAAAAACAATAGTTCTGTTACTCCTTTTCCCCCATGAATTTTTCTGATGAAGTATTTCTAAAAAATCAGGTTGAATAAATAAATAGAAAGTATTTGCTACAATTATAGATATTAGCTCACATTGTGAATATATATGTATTTGTATATACAATATACAGCTTTTTTTTTTGTTAATTGGATAATTTCATATGTACTTCAGTACTCCAGGAGGAGACTACTATTTCAAGAAAATATGGTGAATTTATCTAATCACCATAGTTCTGAGATATTCTAATTAGTATATATGCTCAGAACACTACAGATTGAAATGTTGAGGTTTTTTTCCCTCCCTCCTATCCTTGTTTCTTTCCTTTCTTCCTAGGACAAGTCCCTTTTTAGTTCTACTGAACTATATTATTTTGTCCTTTTTTTTTGCAACTTGATGTAGGCAGTTAACAAAAAGCAATATGTTTTTCTCATGTTCATATAACACTAAATATGAGTTTGTGATAAACAAGCAGGAATTCCAATTATATACAGAGTTTCATCTATGAGTTTCATCTATGAGTTTCATCTTCTTAAAATACTCTATGAACTGTGGTATGTGATTCTCTTGACCCAGTGGTTGTGGGTTGTCAAACTATTACAGGAGACAGAGGGACAGTGACCTAGAAATACTAAGTATGAAATACTAAACCTAAATAATAACATAATAAAACAACTCATTAAATTTTTTTCTAGAAAAGCCATTCAAAATGAAAGATGTTTCAAACCATAATCCATTAAAGAGTTGATTGAGCCAATGATCCCAAATTATTTATAATGCTTTCAGTATCTTGTTATGTGTAGTCTTAAATAAGCTACTCACTAAATGATTGAGTATGGTATATACTCCTTTATACTTTTACAATTATGATGATTTGATAAGAGGGATTTATTTCATGTAGATAAGTATTGTTTTTCTAAGGCTTTCAATGGTTTATACTAGTCTTGGGTATAGACTTTATATGCTTTAACATTAAAAGTAGTGTGTTGTTTCTGATAGGAAAACAACACATGAGAATTATTTTGAAAAACATTTTTTAAAACATCTTTTCAATTCCTTTAGAACTTGCAAAGATTCCACTGTCAAATGTTGTTTACTAAAAGTGACTTATCATTTATAAGAAAATAAAGAATTATTAATGAAGTAGAACTATATTTTTGAATCTTGAAATGTATCATTTTAAATGAACACTTGAGCATTAGCCTTTTTTTCCCCCTACACAATGAATGCCATGAAAAATAAAGGTGTTAAGTACTGTTCGAAAGACTGGGAAGAATCTATATAGAAATTAAATTCTTCACAATGATAGATGGAGAAGTACATGTTTTATTTTTGGATTTCTGTCATCCTAGGTATTTTGGAAATATTTGCTGTGTCTCAGGGGATTGTAGGAATACGAGGAGTTTTCAGCAACAAATTTTTAGCGATGTCCAAAAAAGGAAAACTCCATGCAAGTGTAAGTAAAACCACTTTACATTTGTTAAAGGTGTTACGGAGATTTTTAAATGGAATGAAGTGATTTTCCAACTTGGTAAATAGACAGTTTGCCCAGAAGTTACTGTTTTTTTTGTTTTTATAAAATTTCATATATATTTAACCAAAAGAATTGTATGTGTTTTTGTAAGTAATCATTTTAATATTTTATTTACTTGAAAGATAGAATAGAGTGTACAGAAAGTCTCAAGGATAAATGTATTTGAAAATAGCATTCTGAACATGATTGTCACTATTTCTTTAAAGTGGTCTAACTTAGGAAAAATAGGAATATTGTGTTATGGAAATGTTATATAACATTTAAAATTACATGTTTAAGGTGATTCTGTGTATTTGGCCAGTCAGAATCTTATTTAATTTTACAAGCAACTCATGATGTAAAAAACTGGATGTAGGTAATATAATATAACATTTTCATATTATTAAGTATGAAGGGAAAAAACCTTTAACCTTTTATAGGAAAGTTTTATTTGATCCATTTGTTGCATCAAAAAGAATACTTATAGGTATGAAGACTAATTTTGCAATCTTAAAAATTTCTTCAAGCCACTTACACATTTTATAATTAATGCACAAATAATAGATTTCTGTTTTGTTCTAAAAATGCTCATTACTTGGAAGGCATTAAAACATTTTAAAAATGGAATAAGTTTAGTTTTTCCACTCACAGATTATATTTGTATTAGTTCATATGTACAGCACCTAAAAGTTATTTATGTTTTTTTCTGTAGTGCACTGTTTTGTTAAATGAAATCATTTTTAAAAAATCAATTTATTTGTTAATATTAGTCCTATAATCCTTATTCCATTTAATTCTTATTAAATGAATTGGAGAAATACCACTTTTCCAGTTTTTAAAGTATACAGGAAGTTTTAATCAAGAGTGCAATCAATTGAAACTTACTATTTGTGATTTCCACATACAGATCTTTTAAAAATTCAATGAAAATTGCATTTGGTTCAATGTGTAAGAATTTCAATTTTCCTTCCCTAGGATCTCAAGGTGATTTGTTAAGACTTTTTGCAGGATACAGCAGAATTCAAGCTACTCCTACAAGTTATTTGAGAATTAAATGCGATAATACATATAATGCTCTTAGAACAGTATTTGTTACAGTGTAAGTGTTTAATGTTACCTATTATTATATGATAAACTAAATATAATAAACTACTAAAGTCAGTTTAGTAAGGTAAATAGAAAACCTTTGTTAAGCTCTTTAATCACCTACTGAAACAATTATAAAAAGATTTACCTACTTCATTTTCTGAGCTGGTTATTATATTCTAGTAAACTAGAATAAAATATTCATAAAATTGCTTTTTAATTATTTATTTTAAGAGGCAAGGTTCTGCATCACTGTGGAAAAGCAGGACATGCCATTTTGTGAAAAAATAATGCTTGAATTTTTAAAATTCACACACAGAATAGAAAACAATGATCAAATACATTTATTTGAACAGAATACTGAGTCTACTTCAAGATTGTAACAGATTGAAACATCTTCAAAATCTAAGCAGTATAATATGCAGTGCATATAAAGAAACTTTCTCTCATAGGTTTGTTTTTCTGGGTGAACATCTTAGTTTTTAAAATATTCTGGTTCATGCCCTATTGCATTGCAAAAAATAGACTAAACTTGTGCTAGCATAAGGATAATTGCCTCAGAAAGCAAAGTATTACAAATGGATGCCAATTAGAAAGGTCAAACTGAGAGGTTAGGATACATGATTCCTCTGTCAAATGCAAGTAACAAATTTCCAGAAATTTGACCCAAATGTCTAAAGATGGCTCGCTGAAATAACGCAGATAATGCAAAAACAACATCTGTTATTCTTTCTCATCTTGGCAGGCTAAAGTTATTTCATGGAATAATGACTTTTAAACAGTACAAAGCAAGTCTTGCTCTTGTCACTCACAGAAGTTCTTTGATACAAATGTCATTCTGATGACTTTGAGCTGAATTGTAGATAAAAAATTAAGCCCTCTGATTATGTAGATTATTTTTAAACCAATTGCCCAAGCCCACTCTCTCTCATCTGAGCTTTTATTAGAACTTTTTCTCTATATGGAAACCTAATTAAATTATAAAGTGATTTATTTTTAAGGAAGTTGAATTTAGAAATAGTATTAATCCCAGCAATTATCAGCTTTATGCCCAGATGGTTTCTTTCCTGTTTTCAGTTTCAAGTTAAACATGTTGAAAAACTGTTCTTGTAACTTTAGGTTTAATTATTTGGTTTAGTTTTTATTTTTACAAAGTTGCATCATCACTAAAAAGGCTAGAAACATTTATACCTTTAGGTTAAATGTGTAATTCATGAGTTCCTTTAAATTAATACTTGTGCAGAGGCATCTAAACAGTACTTATAAAGCCATTTCACTATCTATTTATCTATCTATAAAATCACACAGTACATCTTAAACTAATACAACATTACGTCAATTACATCTCAATAAAACTGGAAACAATTTAAAACTTAATAAAGAGCACCATTAAGGTTCTGTCTACAAAATAAATGTGAATGAAAAATACTAAGTATTCATATATTTCTGGGGAAAGTAATTCCCATACTGTGTTGAGAATATTCATGGATAATTATAGATTTTAAATTTTGCTTTTATATTAACAGTCAGAATATTAAAAACTACTTACTAGGCAGGAACAACACATTTGTATAGTTCTTTAAAACCTCTTTCACTTACGTTGTCTTATTACATAGTTAGGTAAGGAAGGAGTCTTTGAGATGTTACATATTTTTCTTAAGACAGTTAACAAGCGATTGAATCAAAACCATATCCTTTTAAAATTCTCTCTCTTTAAACACTATAATACTTTGTAAGTAAAAATTAGCTTAAGAGAAGGTACTAAGTTTTGCTTGGAACCAATTACACTGTTTTCCCCTATTAATCTACAGGAATTAATAATTTTACAGTTTAATAGTTTCTCATATTACATTTTAAAGAATGAATACTGTGGTGCATCCCTAACAATATTGTGCTTGCCACTTTTTCTCTTATTCCAAGCTCTGTTTTGGACTCTCTTTTTTTTCAATCTACTTTGTTTCCAGTACTTGATTTTAAAGTCTAGAGAAGGGGAGGGGATGTGTTTGCCACATAACTTATCACAGAGGTTTACACATGTTGGTTATTCAATATTATGATGAGTTGCTTAGGGAACTCCTCTCAAGGTGAATTTTCAAAACAGAAAAGAGATCTGTTTTGTTCCCTGAAAATTCTCATTTCAAAAGTGCTTCACAGTCAGTGGACACAAAGATGACATGTAGAAATATCAGCCCAGAATGGTTAGACTTAAGCAACAGTTGTGCTGATTTCCTTTTTGTGTTAAGTCTACTAATTTGGTAAGAGAGCTTTATTTGAACTTCAACCATCTCAGTGTGCACTGCTTCCTGCACTCATTCAATCTGCATACTTGTACCATTCTGTAACCATTTCTCTGTTAAACCTTTACTAGTATACTTGAAATACACAATGCAGCTAAATTCCTGCATGCAGGGTTTTTTAGCATTCTTTATGCAGATGAAGGGGTATGGTTTCCTTTTTCTCAAAATGCATGGAGGATGATCAAGAACTCGAGTAGATAACTGCCTCCCAGAGAGCCTGCGCCCTGATCCGGGCCTTTGCTGTGACCTCTACACTCTTTCTCACCTCGTTCCCAGGCTGAGGTACCTTGCAGGACTGAGCACTCTTTCTCTTTCTGTCTCTCTCCACCTGCTTGCCTGTCCCAGCTTCTTCCTCATGCTGCTCCTGCTCTCTGGTCTGGCTTGCTGTCTTTATTGATAGAGTGCCTTTCTGGATTTATCTGAGGTAGGTCCAAATGTAAGAGTAAGAGACTTAGGGTGTGGTGGTCAGGAGCACAGTTACATTGCATTACTCTACTTAAGTTAAACTGTCATTTTACTTCACCTTTCTATTCCTTGGTTTTATAAGTCATAAGAGGAGGAGAACTAAAGTAACAATCTACTGTGATAGTTGAGCATTTTAAATGAGATAATACATATGGAACACTTAACAATAGTGCCTGGAAAGTACACAGCATTTCATGTCAGAAAAGATCTTCTGATTATCCAGGAACATAATTTGAAAGCAAAGTCCCAGGTTTAAGCTCTTTGAGAGGCAAAAATATTTAACAAATATTTCAGAGCCCTACTATGTACCTTTTTTTCCCCTAAAAAATGTAAATCCTGGAAAAGGTGGTTACCATGTATTCTTTAGTTTTTTCATAAAGTATGTATGCCAGATCATTGCCTATGGGGAAAAAACATTTTAGCTTGTTTTAAAATCCAGAGAGAAGCATGTGGTGGGATTATTTTTGTTTCTCAGGGTTTTAGGAGATCATATTTGGAAGGAAGCTAGTTGCAGAGTTTACAGAAGAGGCATGGAATGTGTGTTTGATCAGCCCTAAGCAAGGACTAGAACATCTTCGTTTCCTGGTTTCAGAGGGTGCCAACTGGTTTACCCCGGATGAGAGTCTGGACTAGACTTCCTGTGCCAGGGGCAGAGTGAGGAGTTGCCAGCCTCTGAAGCTGGGCATGTCCACTGAAAGAGGAAACGGAGGCTTGAGCAAAAGTGATCAGCATCATCAAAAATTAATTGCTAAGCACTCCACTATTTCAGTCAAGACCATGAGCTATATAACAAGGCATTTGAATAGAAACTTCCTTTATCCTCCAGGAGCTTTCAATTTACATAGCACAATCAAATGTTTGGTAATTCAGGCTCACAAATGGGTTCATGTCTCTGCCTTTGCAGCAAATGCCAGTTTTCCCTTTATTTCGTATTATGTCAGTCTGACTAGAGGGCCTATTTTATTGAGGAAATCTTGGTATGATGAACGACTTATAGCTTCATATCAGATACATTTCAGCCTGAAGTGAGAGACGGTGTTACATTTCTCTGATGGTATGAAAAGTGGCACTTGTTTTTTTCATCAGTACTTTAAT